CCACAAAAATTCAAATCCCCCACCCACAAACCCCTTTTCCCACAAAATTTATTCTTTTTATTCCACAGGAGAGGGTTTTTTTTAAAAATAAATAATTTTTTTTTTTATTTTTTTTTGGGGGGAGAATTTCCAAGAGGGTTTATAATTATTTTAAACCCATAATTTTTTTTTTTCCCCACCTTCAAAGAGATCCCCCCTTTATTGTTATTTTTTTGAAGTTTGTTTAATTTTTTTTTTTTTTTTTGAGGGGGGGGGGGTAATGAGAAAAACCTATTTTTCAATTTTTAAAAAAAAAATATTTTCCCCTTTTTTTTTTCTTGGAATTTTTTTCTATTTGAAGAGTTTTTTTTTTTTTTGGGAAATTATTTTAAAAAAAAAAAAGAAAATAATTAATTAATATTTTTTTTTAAATTTATAAAAAATTTAAAATATAAAAATAAATAAAACAAAATAAAATAAAATTTTTTTTAAAAAAAAAAAAAAAAAATTTATTTTTTTTTTTATATTTACCCCAAAGAAAAAAAAAAAAAAAAAAAAAAAAAAAGGGTAAGATAAAAAAAAAATGTGGTATATACACAAAAAAAAAATAAAAAATAAAAAAAAATAAAAAAAAAAATAACACAAAATAAAAAATAGATATTATTTTAAAAAAAAAAATTTTTATGTGTATGAAAAAAAATTAAATTACTTTTTTTTGAAAGAAAAATTGAAAAGGACCTTAATATTGAAGATATATAAAAAACCAGCCAATAGAAATTCACACAGGATATATGTGAAAAAAAAATTTGCAAAAAAAAGTATTGGTGTGGCTAAAGTTGGTATTGGGTAATTGTGGTTGTATGTATAAATTGGGTATATGTGTAAAATGAATAAAAATAAAAAGCAAAAATAAGAAATTGTATTTATTTTATTTTTTTATTTATTTAAAAAAGTAAAAACAAAAATAATAAAAATAATACTATTATTGTGTGGGAGAATGTTGATTATTTTTAAAATACATATAACTATTGGTTAAAAAAATATTATAAAATTAAAAAAATTAAAAAATAAAAAAAAAAAATTAAAATAAAATAAATTAAAAAAAAAAATCAAATTTTTTTTTTTTCAGCATTCAAGATTGTTATAATAAATTAGAAATACTCTAGATATTTTTTTTTTTTTTGGGGGTTATTCGCGCATGAAAAAACACATCCTATATTAATTTAAAGCAACCATTATATTTTTTTTTTTCAAAAATACTTATTTTTTTTATGCAATAGCACACCTCTCACCTTTAGATTAAAATTTTTTTTTTTTTTTTTTATTTTTTTTTTTTTGAGCACGCGAACTGAGTGAGAAATCTCAATTGATTATCATCTGATTTGATTTTATAATGGGGATTTGGTTCCAAAATTAGTGGAAAATGGTTTTTCTCAGTTTTTAAAAATAAATTAATTGACAACGAGCGTTCTATTATTAATTAATTAAATCCAAACTCTATCAATTTAATTCATCAAAAATTTTCATACCAGAAAATCTATATATAATTAATTGAAAATTGGTATCAAATTAATTAATTTTGATTTCCTCTTTATAATTAATTTATTTTGATTTCGTAATTTTTCAATTAAATTAATTAATAAAAAAACAAATTAATAATCATATTTGTTTTTTTATTTTTTATATTTGTTTTTTTATTTTTTATTTTTATTTTTTTTATTTTTTTTTATTTTTTTTTTTTTGAAAAAAAAATAATTTTTAAAATTTCTTTTTTAAAGGGAAAAAAAGATAGAGATATATTTTTTAATTTGAAAATAAATGATGTAAAATAATTGTTGTGTTTTATTCATAATTAATAAATACTTTTTTCGGTTTAAATATAAATCCAAAAAAAAAAAAAAAAAAAAAAAAAAAAAATTTCTTTTTTTTTTTAATTTTTTTAAATTAAACTAATTTTTAATTTTTTTTTTTTGAAACCTTTTATTTTTTTTATAAAATATATGTATCAACCATATAACATAATATGATATGAATAGATTTATTGATAAACCATATATTTTACAATTTATAAATAATAAACCAATAGGATATTCATATCACTATTTAATAAATAATAGGAATAATAATATTTATAATAATAATAAAAGTTATTATTCAACCGAAAAAAACAATTCAACTATAAATCCATCAAGCAATGAAGAGATTGTATTGGATAGTAAAAGTGAGGGTTACATAGAATGGAAGGATCCATCAAAAAAAATAAAAAAATGTGTTTTAACAGGTCAAAATAGAATATCAAAAGATGTTAAAGATATTTCATTTTTAAATAAGCATGGCTTATTAGTTAAATTAAATAGTAACTCTTTATTAAATAGTTCAAAAAATAATAGTAATAATAGTAATAGTGACAACAACGACAACGACATCAACAACGCTAATAATCAAAATGAAGAAGTTATAAGAGAGGATTATGATGATACATTCGAAGTTATTAAAACAAAAAAACAAAAGCAATTGGAGAAAAATTTAATGGGCAAGAGTGGTGATTTAGATTATCAAGATAGTCCTGAAATAATAACAAGTAAAAAAAATAAAAAGAAACAGACTATGAAGGAGGATTTCAAAAATAATGAAGTAGACATTATAGTTTTAGACGAAAATGTAAATAGTATTAAACCAAGTAAAAAGTCTAAAAAGAAATCAATTTTAGTGCAACCAGAGGATGAAGAGGTATCGTTGGAAGTTGATCAAAATGAAATATTCAGAGAATATAATTTGGATGAAAATGGTGAACACATTGTGACAATGAGCCCAGGTTTTAAATCTCCTGAACTAGATCGAATAAAGTCAAATTTAGAAAAACCATTAAAAGAATCCAAACCAAGAAAGAAGAAAGTTAAGGAAGAGCAAGAACAGCCAATTGTAAAACAGCAAAAAGAAAAAGGTAAAAAAATAAATAAAAAAATAAAAAAAAATAAAAGTTTATATATTAATAGTTTCTATTATTACAGAAAAAGAGGTAACAGAAGGTGTTAAATCTAAAATAAAGAAAGAGAAGAAAGATAAATTAAAAAATCAAATTAACAATACTGATGATTTAAATCAAGTTCAGTCAATTGGTATTGAGGGTTTGAAATCAAAAAAGAAAAGAGTTAAGGTTGATGAATATTTAAATATTATTGATGTATATAAAGAATGGAAGGCAACAGTGTTATCCAAATCAAGCAAAGATATATTGACAACAAAGCATAAATTGCCAAACAAACCAATTAAAATGCAATCGCCGTCATCAAATGCTATCGATGGTGTTTTGGAAAAAGAACATGAATGGGACAGCTTGGTAGACTCTTGTAATAGGATGGTATTTGGTAATTCTAGCTTTAGACCATTACAGCAGCAGGTTATAAACTCAATTTTACATGGTAGAGATACTTTTGTCAGTTTACCAACTGGTGGTGGTAAAAGTTTATGCTTTCAAATTCCATCTTTGGTCGATAGTAGTGGTATTTCGATTGTACTTTCACCATTATTATCATTGATGCAGGATCAGGTTCATAAATTAAAGCTTTTGGGTGTTCCAGCATGCTCAATTAATAGTAGTAATACACCCTTACAGAATAGAAAAACAATAGAGCAGTTATTGGACAAGGATAACTGTAACATTTCAATAGTCTACGTTTCACCAGAAAGATTATCACAAACAGAGTTTTTAGAGGTATTGAACACATTGAATAATCAAGGTAGAATAAAAAGATTAATAGTCGATGAGGCTCATTGTATTTCTGAATGGGGACACGATTTTAGACCAGCTTATAGAAAGATTTCATTGTTTAGAGAAAATTTTCCAAATGTACCAATCGCAGCATTTACAGCAACTGCCAAACCATCAGTAGAGAGTGATATCAAAAATGAACTAAAGTTACATAACCCAGTTACCATAGCATCAAGCTTCCTCAGAACCAATTTATTATATCAAATTAGAAGCAAGAGTCCAGATCAATCAAGATCATTTGCAGATATCGCAGATTACATTAAAATGAGACAGTCAAGGTCATGTGGTATTATTTATTGTGCAACTACAAATGATTGTGAATTACTATCGCAATACTTAAATGAAGAAAATATAGATTCACATTTCTATCATGGATCATTAAAGAATAGTGAAAGAGTCGAAATTCAAAAGGCATGGACTAACAAATCATTCAAAATTATCGTAACTACATTAGCTTTTGGTATGGGTATTGATGTAAAAGATGTAAGATTTATCATTCACTATACCATGCCATCATCCATCGAGGCATATTATCAACAAACTGGCAGAGCAGGTAGAGATGGTTTACCAAGTGAATGCATTTTATATTATACATCAAATGACTATTTTAAAATCAGTAGAATCATCCAAACTCAAGCCCAACCATCATCATCCTATTTCTATAGCGAAGAGCAGGAGTTAGTGGCACAAAAGCAGCAAATGACCGAGAACAAAGTAGAGTTACTTGATAGTATTAACAGTTTTTGCAGAAATGATGACGTATGCAGAAGAGTCCAATTATTGGATTACTTTGGCGAAGTTTCAAAACCATGTAAAACAAATTGTGATATATGCATCTCCCAAACCCAATATGGCCATAACAACTATACCAAATCGAAATTAAAACAATTAAAAAATGATATCCAAACATCTCAAGATTCAATAGAAAGAGTATACACAAGAAACTCTTATTCCACTTTTAAATATAATAAAAAAAAGTCTAATAAAAGTAGATCATATGAAGATGATGATACCAATTAATAAATAATATGGTTGCTTTATGCCATTAAAAAAAAAATATTATTTTTATTTTACATTTACTATTATATTTCTTTTATAATATAAAATATTTATTGATTGTTAAGTTGGATTGGGGACGAATCTTGTTGGATCTTTGGTACTGATTCAAAAACGCTGCCTGGGATATATACAATAGTGTTTGATTGCTCTTTAGCAATTTGTGAAAGGATATCCAACTCTTTAATTCTAATTGCAACGGGACTCTTTTCGAGCATTGTTGCGGCGGCTAAAATCTGTTCTGCTGTTTGAACCTCTGATTGTGCATGAATTAATTTAGATTGACGTAATTGCTCTGCTTCGGCTACTTTTGCCATTGCTCTAACGATTGATTGTTCAAATTTAATATCCTTTAAATTAACTCTTTCAATCTTTATACCCCACTCTTCTAAAGTTGATGCTGATTCATATATTTCTTGTGAGAATTTTTCACGATTAACTAAAATTTCATGAAGTGTATTGTTTGATAAAAGTTCACGAATTTTAATTTGAACAAATTCTTGAACAATTTTACCTGGTTCTAATACTTTATTAACTAAAAGTTCTGGGTCATTAGCCTTTATTTAAAAATAATGAAGATATTAGTAATTGTTAATTATATATAATTTTATAGAAATAGTTTTTTTAATATTAGTTTATTACTCTATAAAAAACAACGGCATCAACAATTAATGAAATATTATCTTTTGAAATAATTTCTTGTTTATCTAATGTGTATGATTGAAGTCTAAAATCAATGATAGTTGACTCTTCAAGAAGAGGGATAACGATACGAAAACCTGGTTCTAAGATTCTGCTAAATTTACCTAAAGTAAAAACGACACCTTTTTCATATTGATTAACGATTCTGAAAAAGTTTCTTGGTTGTGGAATAGTTGGTTTTGTACCTAGTCTAGTTATATATCTAAATGGAATTTTATTTAAATTTCTCATTATTTATTTCTATATTATTATTTCTAAAAAACTAATTAATAGAAAGAAAAATAAAATAATAGATTTTTTTATAAAATTTTTATAAAAATATTTTTTTTTTTATAAAATTTTTATAAATAAAATTTTATTAATGCCTGCTCTGAAATTCTACAAAAGTAAATAATAATATTTTATTAGATAATTAAACTATAATGGCTATAACTATTTTTTTATTTATATGATTTTCTTGATTTTTTTAATTGGTAGGTTTCTCCATGAGATAATATAATTGAAAGCAAAATTTTATCATAGAGCGCTAGGTTTATATTATCTTTATTTTCATTACGGAATTTGGCAAGATCTGAAAAAATATTGTTTTCAATAAAAAGTTCTACATAAGAATTATTTAAACAAAGGGGTTTGTTGTCCATTGTGGTCAAATCTACTATTTCATTTTCACTTTTGTTGCCAGCTTTTAAAAGTCCTTCTAAACAAAATAAGATTTCATATACCCTTCCTGGTACCAATGATGGGATAAATAGAAGCTTTGATAAATATTTTAAACACCCTTCCTTTACAATATTGTTTCTATGTTTTTGAGTACCATTGGTAACTACTCCACGTAATATTCCTAAACCACTTGCTATTATACTTTGTTCTCTACTATTATGAACAATTTTATAATTGTTTTTTTCTAATGTTTGAATAATAAATGAGTTGGCTTTTTGAGGAGCATCACTATTTAAAACTATTTGAGTACATGGATCAGGATTAGTTATTAAAAAATGGATAATAAACATACAAGTCTTTTTAATACGGATATCTAAGTTTATATCGCTTGTCTCTTGATCTAGGATTGAGGAGATTCTTTTAATGAAACCACAGTTTTGTTTTAATAGATTTTGGTTATTTATGTTTAGTCTTATATAGCTGAATAATACATCTAAAGAGTGTAGTTGAACTTTTTTATTCTCATAGTATGATAAAACTAATATTGTTTCAATAATATTATTATATTCATTGATATTGTTGTAGGTATATTCATTGAAAATGTTATTGTCACCTTCGTCACCAAAAATATTGTTATATAAATATACACAATGTATATTTAAACTTTTGCATATACAAATGATATTTCTATCTTTTTCAGTATCTTCATTTTCATAAAGTTGGAATATTAGTTCCTTTTTTAAATGTGGTATTAGGTATTGCATTGATTCTGGAAAAGAGCGAACTAAATTTAATAGTGATATAATGTGAGTATAGAGCATTTATTTATTGTTTTAATAGTTTTATACAAACCTTCACATAAAATTTTATATTCATAATATTGAAAGTTTTTATTTTCTAAATTGTCTAATATTTCAATTATTTGTAAAATAGTTTTACTATTTAAAATTATTTGTTTTGATCTTTTGTCAAAACGAACAATTTTTAATAAAACTTGTAATAAATTTGCCGAATATGCTTTATTTGGATAATTTAAAAAATATATTAAAGCTTCTATATAATTGTAATTATAAAATTGTTTTGCTTTTTTTTTGTTTTTTATAATTAATATTTCTAACACCTTAAATGAAGTTGCAATAAAATAGGTGTGGTCGTCACTGAAACCTTTCTCTAAAAGTAGTTCCATGAATTCTGAAATAAATTGGTTTATAATATTTTCATCGATAATTCTGTTGTTTTTAATAGATTGATATATTTTAATTAGTTTATCATCTAAAATATATACCGGGTCATTTATGTTTAATTTTAAATCATTATTATTATTTTGATTATTTTTTAATTCTAAAACTAATTTAATTATTATAGAAAGAGGAATAGCAAGTAGTATTGCCCACTGTTGTACATGAAAAAAAAAAGTAATTAATAAAAGGCTACTCTTCTACACTCCAGAATAAAATATATTTAAATAATTTAACTTACAAAATAATCTTCTATTTGTGGATCATATAGAAAAAGGCTAAAATCCATTGTTGACCACATTGACATTCTGTGTGGGGTGAGAGAATGAAATAAATAAAAAAACTAAATTTTTTTTTTTTTTTATTAAAATTTTAAAATTGAAATTATTGTAAAAATTTTTTTTTAGTTTTGTTTTTTCCTAAAAAAAAAAATACTAAATAAAGAAAATATATCTATTGATATTTAAATAGGTTTTATATTTTATTATTTATATTATATTTAATTAAAATTTAATTGTTTTGGATTACCGAGTCCCTCCCATGTTTTTTTAATAAATAAAGTTTTGCTTTTTAATAGTTTTGAAAGGAATGATCCCATGACCATTTGATTTGGTAATTGAAAAACACCATCTGATTTACCGAGAGCTAATATCATAACTGGTTTTGATGGAGTATGGGTTGGTAATTTATTGCTATTTTTATTGACGGCTTCGATGACTTTGGCAACAACTTTGGCATGGGTTGAGGCATTGAAAGCTGTTTTAAATTCTTTAGTATCGGTGACATCACCAACGGCAAAAATATTTTTGAAACCTTCGACTTGTAAGCTGGCATTAACTTTAATTTGACCTTGTTGATTAATAGAGTTTTGGAAATGTGAATTTGTGTAAGCTTCACTATTGATTTTAATACCAACAGTCCAAATTAATAAATCGGCTTCTATTTGTTCACCTTTTTCGGTTGTATAAGTGGCGGTTGATGGGGTTGGTAGTAAAGCAGATTGGCTATTTAATGATTCTCTGACTGACTCTGGTAAGGCGATTCTATCATTTAATACTAAATGTATATTTCTCTTTTCCATTGATTTTAATGTCATATTGTTGAACTTTGGTGCCATTGCATCATTTACTAAAGTGGAGCCACTATGTACAATGGTAATTTTTTTATCTTTTCCATATTTATCATATACTTCAGCGGCAAACTCTACACCAACACTACCACCACCTACAATTAATATTTTGTTTGCTTGTTTGATTTGATTTGAAAAATTATCAAAGTATTGTTGGATATCTCTATTGTTTGTAAGGTTGAGTGGGGCTTTGAATGGAGCTAATACATTGGAACCAGTAGCAATTACCAAGTAATCAAAGTGAAGGGTTTGGCCGTCTTCAAGGGTAACATGGTTTGGTGTAATCTCAGTAGCAGAGGAGAATATAAATTTACCATTCTTTAAAAGTTTATCATATGGGATGTATACTTGTGGGACTAACTCTGGTTCTACAGCAACACGTACTGAGGCAACGCAATGGAAAAATGTTTTTTTTCTTTCGACAACTGTAACATCAAATTTAGAATCTAATAATTTGGCAGCTTCAATACCAGCATAACCAGCACCTATAATTAAAACTTTTTTTTTTTCTGACATTGTAATTCCTTTATAATTAAATAATAAACCTATATTTTATAAAAAATTTTAAAGTTAAAAAAAAAAAAAAGTAAAATTAATATTAAATATTAAATATTAAAAAATTAAATAAAATAAGATTTTATAATAATTAAATAATTATATTTACCTTTGAGGTATTCTAAAGTTTGATAGATAGTATTTATTTTTAGCGGTATATAAAATATATATAAATTTAATTTTTTATATATATTTAAATAATAATAATAATATTTTATTATTTGTTAATAGTAATTGGTAATTTATCGAAAATGATTTATTAAAAAATAAATTTTGATTTCTATTTATAATATGGTTTTTTATCCCATAATTCAGCATTTAAGTTACATATGGAAGACTTCGTTAAAAAAATATTTTTTTTTCATTTTTTTTTTTATTTTTTTTTTATTTTTATTTTTTTTTAGAGTTGTTCGTTGGCGTTAATTCCCTTTTTTTTTTAGAGGTTATGGGTTGTGTTTTTTATTTTTATTTTTTATTTTCAATACCAAAAAATACACAAATAGTTTTTCTTTTAAATAATTTATTTTAGTTCAATAAATCCTTTTTTAATTAATTAAATCAATAATGTATTAAATTATCTATTTTATTTATCTTTTTTTTTTTTATTTTTTTTTTTTTATTTTAATTTTTTTTAATTTTTTTTATTTTATTTTATTTTTATTTTAATTTTTATTTTTATAAAATTTTTTTTAATTTTATTTATTTATATTTTAGATTTATGATCATTTTTTCTAGGTAATTATTTATTTTTATAGGAAAGTTAAAAGAATAATTGTATTTTTTAGTTATAAATAGAACCAATATTTATTTTAATTTTTTCATTTTACTATTTTAAACAAATATAATAATTATATTTTCTTAAATAAATAAATTTATATTTTAATAATTTTATAAATAAATATAAATAAATATAAATATAAATAAATATAAATATAAATAAATATAAATTTAAATAAAATAAATAAAGATAAATTTTAAATTAAATTTTTAGTTTTAGTTTTTATTTATTTTAATAATAAATATTAAATTTTTCTTTTTTTTTTTTTCTTTTTTCTTTTTAAACAATTAATTTAATAAATATTAAAAATGTATAAAGAAACATTTACCATTACTTTATCCGAAGTCTGTGAAAACCATGTTGGTATGCAAAAGATTGGGGTTTTGGGTAAAGATGGTTATAGTTTGGATGATTTAAATAAAGCAAAAAAATATTTCGAAGATGAAAAAGGTTTAAAAACTGAATTGTTTGATTTAAAACAAATTTGTTTAGTAGATAGTAATAAAGATAATAATAGTAATAACAATAATGTAGATAATAACGAGGAGGTTGATGAAAAAGATAATACAAATATAATAGATTTGGATGAAATTAATAATGCATATATATTGGTGATTAGAAATGGGTTATCAGCATTCTGTGATCCAAATCTATTTCACGAAGAACAAAAAAAACTAGATAAAGATAAAAAAGCACTAATGTATGGTAGGGTTGTGAATAAAAATGCAAGACATAACTTATGCTTCTCAAATGTATCGCAAGAACCAGATTACGAGAAAGGAAAGGGTAGAATTATTGCATTCAAGGATGTGCCATTGCTTGACTCGGTTCGTAATGGTTTTGGAGATATTCTCGGTGATAAAGGTAAAAAGTTGGTGGCTGAAGGAAACTATTATTTTGGTAATTATCATGATTATTATTATTAATATTATTATTATTATTAATATTATTATTAATAATATTTAAAACTATATTAACTAATGGTTATATTATTTGAATATTTAGATAAAACTTGTGGGATTGGGTATCATGGTGATGCTGAAAGAAAGAGAGTTATAGCTATTAGAACTGGTTGTAGAATGAATATTTGCTATCAATGGTTTCATGATGGAGTTAAAAAGGGTAAAAGATTTCAAGAGTTTTTAAATCATGGTGATATTTATATAATGAGTGAATTTGCAGTTGGTTGGAATTGGAAGAAAAAGAAAATATATACCCTTCGTCACGCAGCCGGGGCTTCAAAATTCACTGTAATTTAGACTTTTTAAATAAATAAATAAATTAAATTAATTAAATATATTATAATCTAGATTAAATTTTTTTTTTCAGGAAATAGATGTTTTTTATGTGTGAATTGAAAAAAAAAAAAAATAAATAAAAAATAAATTTTTTTTTTTTAATCCCAAAAATTCAAAAAGAGAATGATTTAAGATAAAAAAGATAATTATTTTTTTTTTTTTTTTTTTTTTTTTTTTTTTAAAAAAACTTTTTTTTTTTTTTTTCAAAAAAACTATTTTTTTTTTCCCTTCTTTTTTATTTAAATTATTTTTACCTCCCCATTGGTATGGGATTAAAAAAATTAAAGGGCAGCCAAACCGGCCCCCCAACCGGCTAATGAATAGTAAGTAGAAAAAAAAATTCTATTTAGCTATTAAACGATCATTTGGTTTTTACTAAGATAAAATAAACAAATGTTCAATTTTCTTTTCTTATTTTTTTTTTTAAAAAAAGAAAATAAACATTATAATAAATAAACAAACAAATAATCAAATAGTTAAAATAGATTAGAGGAATTTAGATTTTAAATATATAAAATTTTATTAATTTTTTTTTATTTATTTGATAAAACTAATTTATTTAAAATTTTTTTTTTAAATTTTTTTAAATCTTTTTCCCTTTATTTTTTTTATATTCAAATGCCCAATAGCAAAGAGTTTGTGTATTGTGCTGATATTGAAAACAGCTGTAAAGAATCCAAATGTCAAAAAATCCACTTAGAAGATTATTTAGAACTAACAAAAAAAATATTTTGGAAAAATCAAAAACCGATTATTTCAACCATTAACAACAATTATCCCTATCCATATAGTCCTGAGACTCCGAGAACAAAAATTTCAATATCTAAGTTTACTCCACACTTTTATGGTATTATTATTGAAGATCATTTCAAATTTATCAAAAATGGTAAAACCGAACCTGACTGGGTTTTAATGAAAGTTGGTTCAACAAGTAGATTAGATAAAAATAAAAGGGTGACCGAAGTAGGAAATCAAATTAAGAAAAATTTAAAAATAGATACAGATGGTCTTAAAACCGAATTCAATATACCCATAGATGCACTTAACTTTAACTACCCAACTGAAGTCGAAGATAAATTAAGAGAAAAATTGGGTTTTATAATTTCCCCAGATACCGCCAAATCACTAAATTTACCTGTTCCAACGGAGTGGATCCTTTTTAATAAAAACTTAAAAAAAAATTTTCTTATTTTAGATTTACCAAATTTAAATTCAAAAGTTGAATCTAGAGAGTTAGTTCTTTCAGAAGATCAAAGTGAAATTGATATCAATGGAACCATTCTGCAAGAAATTTCTGATGTAAGGACAACTGTAAACAATTTTTTGGTTAAAAAGGAGACAGAGTTAGGAAATTTAAAAAAAACTTTGCAAGAAAGTTTGGAAGGGGAAAAAAAAGATTCTCATCCAGACAATCAAACTGAAATTGATCTCAATGAAGAGTTAGAGCTTTTAAAAAAGAAAATAGAAGATTCCCAAAAATCTTTTAAAATGTTAAAAAAACAATTCGATATAATAGAAACTTTATTTTCAAAAAAAAAATTAACTTTAGAAGATTGCTTTTTATTTATTGAAACCTCCAATAGACTCTCTTTAAGAAGCATTAGGGATAGTGGTGTTAGAAAAAGTGCTTCTTTTCCAAAAGATGGACTATTATTAAAAATAAAAGATAAAACATTTAAATTAACTCTAGTAAAATCTCAAATCATCGGAGAAGAAGAGACAAAGCCAAAAGAAGAGACAAAACCAAAAGAAGAGACAAAGCCAAAAGAAGAGACAAAGCCAAAAGAGGAGATCAATGCAAAAGAAGGGGCCAAGGCAAAAGAGGAGACCAAAGCAAAAGAAGGAACCAAAGGAAAAGAAGAGACCAAGGCAAAAAAAGGGACAAAAGCAAAAGAAGAAAAGAGCACAAAAAAAAATTAAAAATAAATAATTTTAAAAATCTTTATTGTCCTTATTTTTATAAATAATTTGATATTTATAATACTAAAATATACAATTATTAAATAAAACCTGATATTATCTATTTTTTATTTTTCCATAGGCACCTTCAGCAGTATCTTTAGTTTTTTTGCCAACATTCACAAAGAAATCTGTAAAACCATTTTGAATTGCATTATTTGAGAATGAATTTGAAGTACTTGTAGATGACCCAACAGTATTTTTTGAAATGTTGTTATAGTTTAAACTTGAAATAACACCTGGTTATAAAAATAAAATATGATAAAGATTAATATCTAGTGATAGAAGAAAGTTAATATTATTTTAAAACTTACTTATAATTGTCATTTTGGTTTGCTTTTCTTTATTTTTATTTTTAATTAATGATTAAAAAATAAAATTTTGCATTAAATAAATACTTTTTTTTTAAAATTTAAATATAAAAAAATTAAAATAAAATATAAAAATTAAAATAAATTTTAAGATAAAATTACAAATCAAAGAAAAAAAATAAGATGAACGTTTTTGAATTTCTGTATTTTTATTTATTTAACCATGTTAAGATAAATAGATATATATGTTATTTGTCCATATTTGTTTTGTTGAATTTTTTGAGTGTGGGTGTTGTTTTTATTATTTTAAAAACTTTTAATTATAATTATTTTTATTTTTATTACTCCTAATTTTATTATTACTAGTATTATTTATTTGATTATTATTACGCACATTAAACAAAAAATTTTTAAAAAAACAAAAAATCCCACACACAAAAAATATCACACACCAACAAAATTAAAAAAAATCAAATTAAAAAAAGAAAATTAACTTTTTTTTTGGTTAATTTCATTTTATAATAAATTAAATTATTTTACAATAATTTAAAAGGAAATTAATTTGTTTAAAATAAACAATTAAATTTTCAGAAATTAATACCTTTGTTTGTTTGGACTAATAAAGAAAAGTTATAATCAATAATTGAAAATCTTTTATACATTTCTTTTTATCATATCATTTTTTTATTATAACATAAATAATTATTTATTTTAAAATTTATCACATTTAATATTTTTCTTTTTATTTCATTTGGTTTTTGAAAAAGAAAAAAAATATCCCAGGAAATATTATAAAAAATTTGAAAAATGAACAAAATAAAAAAATTCTCGTTTTTTTTCGAGATATTATTTTATTAATTTTTTTTTTTCTTTTTCTTTTTACTTTTTTTTTTTTTTTATTAATTACATTTTATTCAATAAAATAACAAAGCAAAACAAAATAAAATAAAATAAAATAATAAAATAGAAAATAAAAATAAATTAAAATTAAAATTAAAAAATAAAAAATAAAATAATTAATATGATAAGGAATTATAATTATATAATTTTTATTTTTTTAATTATATTATCATTTTTAACAATTTATATAAATGGCGAATTAATATATTTTAACTCGAGCAAAACATGTACAGAAAAATCACCATGCAATTTTTCAAATAAAGAAAATTGGATAGGTGAGGTTTTACCCAGCCAAGGTGATGATATAGTTATTGATTTTTCACAACCACAACCAACAGAATCAACAATAGCCAATAACAATATTAATAATAATAGCGACACTAGTTTAAACTATTACTATTTAATTGGCGAAAAAATGAATATTACTATTGGATCTTTTAGTTTATTGGGTTCAAATCAAAATTATCCACAACTTTTTTTAAATAATACATATATAGTTTCAGTAGGAAATACATTTCAAATATCAAGTGCATCAATAAACTTTTATTATAACAACACTTTAACCATCGATAAAGGAAGCTTAAAGGTTTTAGAAGGTTCAAATTTTACTGTAGATCGATCGAGCAAGATTAATATTATAAATAATAGTGAAATTACTTGTGATAAAACCATAAATAAATTTCAGTTTTTAAACAACTCATCCCTTTCAATTGATAATAGTAGTGTTGGTAATTTTTATTCGAAAATAGTATTCTCTTCAACTAGTTCATTTATCGGCAATTCAAGTGAAACCAGTAGTTTTTATGGTGTATTTTCATTGTCATCAAGTACATTAGTATTAAACAATGCCAAGTTTTATTATAACTCCTTTATAAAGAATCTAAATATAATAGGCCAGGTTCAATTAGACACAGACAGCAACACCATTTTATCCATCCTACAAAACCTATATTTCAAAGATACCTCTTTAATAACAATAGATTCAAATACAAATTTAGTAATTGGTGGCTCGGTTAATGGTGATAATGGGATTTCAAACACAAGCTCTATTGTATTAAATGGTGGAACATTAAAAATAACCTCACCAAATTTTAAAATAGATAATATGGAATTTAGCGAAACAAATACTGGTACAATTTCATATCAAACATCTAGCCTCAGAAAATATGAGGATACCACAAATAGTAATACATACTCCTCCTCCTCTTCATCTTCCTCTTCCTTCCCTTCCTCTTCTTCATCATCCTCTAATAAACCAAGCCCTAGCAACTCATATTTTATTAATACAATTGCACCAATGATTTTAGTATCAAGTAACAGTGATCTTATAATATACAACTCACATTTCAAAACACTATCCGAATCAAAATCAGTAGTCGAAAGCGATTCACCAATCACATTTGAATTCTTTGGATCAGTATACTTGGATAGTGTCTCCATTTCATCAAGCTCTGTTGTAATTAGTCCAAACTCTGATGTCGTTTTTTTCAAAGGTGGTTGTCTAAACTCTTTAAATGTTTATGGTAATCTTACCGTATATAGCCCAGGTATTTCAGTTCACCCTAATCCAGTTAACATTTTAGATCCAAATGCATATTTGATTATCAATAGCACATCAGTTTTAGCATCAGTAAACATTGTATCAGGAACACTATTTTCCGTAGGCTCATCTACCATAAACTCTTTAAACATAAGTGGGCCATCATCATTTTTAGAATTACATTATTCATCTATATATATTTATAAATCCTTCATCTCTGATGCAAAATCATCAATTTATATAACTTCAAAAATAAGCTATTTCAACACACCTGCCATCTCGGTATCCTCCATCCCACAAGTTTTTTCAAATTTAATAGTAAACTTTCAAATATTACCAAATAGCAAACCAAAGTCTTGTGATTTTTCAATAGTAACATATAATATAAATAATAAAAATATCACCGAAAAAGAAGAAGAGCCTGCAATTATAAATGATGATAGTAATAGTAACAGTAATAGTGCAATTAATTTTGCATCTATTAAAATTTTCGATTTGGCCAATAACAACAACAATGTAAATACCAATACTACATATTCATATAGCTTATTGACAACAGATAATAGTCTTTCAATCATATTTGTTTTTCCATACTCAAAACAAGCTTTTCCAGAATGGGCTATAATTTTAATAGTGATCGGTTCAGTTATTTGCACCATTACAATTTCAATTATAATATACACAATCAAGCAAAGGAAAAGATTACAAAATGAATATAGTGGTTATACAAGATTATAAACCAAAACTAAACCACAACAAAAAATTATATTAAAATAATTTTAAAATTTAAAATAAAGTTTAATTAATTTTTTTTTTTATTTATATTTGTTTTTTTTTTTTTAAAATATTACTTCTATAATGTTATTATTTTATGAGCTTATTAATCAAATAATGAGCCATTTTATATAAAGAGTTGTTAATTATTTTTTTTTAATTGACTATTTTTTTTTTATCTTAATGTGGAAATTGTTAAAGGTTTATATGGAGATGCTTTTGTTGTTGATGAAGGTGTTAAAATTTTTTTTGAAATTGAATTACTGTTTGGTGTATTGTTGTTGGTAATATCTCTAAGAGGTGTTAATGGTGTACCAGAATGTTTGCTTGGTTTTGATGGAGTAATAAATTTATTTTCAGATAACGGTGATTTAATGTTTTTATTATTTGCTAAAGTGCTTGAAGTAGTGGTAGCGGTAGTGGTGGTGGTGGTAGTTGATTTTGATGATGGAGATGCTGATAATGATGATGCAGTTAACTCGTTCACTGAAGATTCTAATTTGTTAGGTGTTGACTTAAGTGGTGATTTAAGACCAAGAGAAAGCGATGAAGCAGTATTTAGTTTCTTGTGTGGAGTGAGATTACTTCGTTTGAATGGTGAAAGAGATCTTTTACCAGGCGATAAAAGTCTGCTACGACTTGGTGAGCTAGTGCTACTTGTGCCACCATTAGAGTTACTGAACTTGGATGTTGTCTTTCTTAATTTAACACCAGTAATGTCGGCTAAAGAAATAGAGAACTGTGGAGTTCCAACTGGCTTCTTTGGAGCAAGGGAGGCTGGTGCAGAAGCTGAGGTTTTTGGTACATTTGGTTTTGGTGCCATTGCTGATGGTGGTGGTGGTGGTGGAGGTGGTGGTGGTGGGGCTGCAAACACTGGAGCTGGGGCTGCGTAAACCGGGGTAGGATTTTGTTGAATTAACGAAGCAGCATTAATAATTTGTTTTAATAATTCATGATATTGATTAAGATTTTGCTTATGCATTTGGTTTTGTTCGTTACGGACTTTTTGAAGCTCTTTTTCCAAGCTATTAATTTTTTGTTCCAATTGGACAATCTTTAAATGGTCACTTAATTCACCTTGTGTAATATAATTACCAGATAAACCCAAGCTTGAATTATTATTACTATTATTATGGTGGTGGTGGTGATGTAATTGTTGTTGTTGAATAATAATTGATGGAATGCTATTATTACTGTTATTACTATTGCTATTAGTACTATTTAATGAGGATGAAACGGTTTCAACCTCATCATTATTACTGTTATTATTATCATCACTATTATTTACATTAACTGATTCTTTTGTTGAACTATTATTACTGCTGGTACTGGTATTTGGTAAGAATGATTTAAAATAGTTAAAAAATGAACCAATTAAACCCTTATTACCCAAAATATTATAACATTGATTAATCATTACATTAACACCACTGTTATTATAATTTTTATTATTTACACTATTATCGTCATAGACTGCTAAATCGTCGTCATTATATTGATGTTCTTTTTTATTCTTTTTAATGTTTTGTTTATTTTTTCTATTTTTTTTTCTTTTATCTCCTACTTTCATTTTAATAATTGAAACTATGAATATATATAAAAATAAATAAATGAAAATAATTAGGTAAATATTTAATGATACTATTTTTAAAACTATTATTTTGTTATAATATTAAAAATATCTATAACAATAAAAAAATATAAACTACTATTAATATTATTATTTATTAAGTTTTATTAAAAATATTATATTTTTTTAAAGGTATAAATTAAATGAAAAAAATTCAAAAAAAAAATAATTCAATCCATACACTAAAAAAAAAAAAAAAAAAATTTTGAAAAATTTAAATTTGAAAAAATAGCCGTTTAACCCAAAAATAAGAGGGAAAGCAGTTCACTTCCAAATTATAAAAATAATTTTATTTTCCAAATACAAATTTAAATTTATTATAATATATAATTTAAATAAAAATTTTAAAAGTTAATAAAAAATAAATACAAATACAAATTAATATAAATAAATATAAAAAAAAATAAAAAAATGTAAATATTGATTAAAACAACATAATAAATAAATTATGTATTTTAAAGTAGATTAATTTTATAATTAATCTTTTATTCTATATATTTTATTTTTTAACAATAAAATTTAACCTATTGCTTTTTTGACGAAGCTGATGAAACTGATAATCTGCTGTGATTTAAAGAAGGTGATTGGGATTGAGTTAAACTACCACCTAAACTATTTCTTGAGATGGTGGATTTACGTAAATGATTATTCATCATCAAAACTGATTTTGTACGTTGAGTTTGAACTTTTGTAAATTGTGCAAATGCAGTAATCCACTCTTGACGTTGTTCAGGTGTTTTAGCAAATACCAATACCATTTCATCTTCAATTTTAATTTGGAATGCATTAAAGAACTTTAATGATGGTACATCTTGAAGCACAGATAACTGGACTACAATATCTTTGATTGGTATGTATTGTTTTACGTGTAATTCATTTTCATGTTTTGCTGCTTTTAATAGACCACTATTGAAAAGGAAAAAGTAGAATTTGTCACCATCCTGCTTTAATTTTGATTGCATTACTATACTATTACCTGGTACGAGAATATCTTGGACTGGTGGAACTAATTTCATGTAAATGTCTTGAATGGATTGTTTATTTTCACTTTCTCTCTTTCTTTCATTTAACTGGACTGTAATCTTCTTTAAATTCTTTACTGCATTATCGATGTGCTCGTAATCATAGTGTTGTTGGTGTGTGTGCTTTAAGAGATCCTCTAGCAACATAACATAACGAGGCATTCTTTGAATGGGCATGATTAAATAGCCAACCAACTCTATACCTTTGGCTTTTTGTTCTCTAGTTTCTTGAAGGAACTCTGCAAACTTTTCTTCTTTTTTAGCATCCTCTAATGCCTTGATTGCATTATTATAATTATTTACATAGGTACTGTAAGATTGGGTTGCACTTTCCATATAGCTAAATGATTCACCGATCGATTGGTTAAAATGCCAATTATTTACTTTTTCTTCGATAATCTCTAAAAATCCCTTATTAAACTGATGTACAACTTCTATATTTGAAAAAATGGTTGTAGAATCTTCATTCGAAATATGACTATTGGTTCTAATTGGAATTAAAAAGTGTTCAACTGCAATATTTAATGAATTTACATAAGATTGCTCTGTAGTTAATAACTCTTTAACGATTCTACCTCTTCTTGAATAAACCTTTAATTCGCCATTATAATGTTTTCTTTGTGAATATGCTTTGATACCTGCAACCAAATAATTTAATCCATTTATAACCTGTTGCTTTGCTTCTTGTGCCTGTTGTTCTTTATTAAAATTATTCTAAAAAAAAAATATTATTTAATATTGGGCTCTTATTAATGAATATATACATGTATAGATATTTTTAATTACCATTTTTTTTGATGCTAAATCTGTTAAAACTTCAACTAAGATTTCAGTTTCATGCTCCTCAGTTCCATAATCACCAAAGCTTTCGAAATCAGATTCACCACCACTACTGAAACCTCCAACTTCCATATCGGCCATTTGGGCATCACCTCCCTCATCATCGACACCATCTGCACCACCAGTGTATTCATCTTGATCAGAATCGTCGTAATCGCTGCCATAACCTCTATCCATTGAACTAATTTTCTTTATAAGGGATATCATTCTTTCGATTGGTTTGATTACTAATTTTTGGAAATCATATGAAATTAACAAGGTACCAACACAAAGAATGATGATTAAACATGTTGTCATCGTTATACTAAGAGCAGCTAAAATTTGTTCGTTACGTTGATTATTAACCCACATTTCATTATTATCACTATCGATTTTGATGATATAACTTGGGTACCAGAGATCTGTATCGATTGGTGACTGATAAACCAATGTATTGTTGATATTGAGGTACAATAAATCGACAGTATCTCTATTTTCTTGAATATCATTGAATGCTGCTTGGAATGCTGGTGATGCAAGACCATTTTGTGTGGCTGATATAACCAATAACTCTAGAATTGAAAAAAAGTATTTATGTTGATCCAGTGTGGGTGATGTCAAAATGGTGATTAATACAATCAACAAACACATTACCACGATCTTGTGTGAAGTTTTAGATAAAAGCTTCTTACCAATGGTGCTAGGCTCGACTGATAACTGAATTTCATTTTTATTCTTTTCTTGTACTCTTTTACCACACTGAAAAACATCGAAAAAGTTTATAATTCTTGCTATTCTTGATAAACGAGAGGCCATTCTAGCGACACGAGCAGTTCTTGAGATGGACAAACTATTGAGTGCATATACAATACTGGTTAAACCAAAAATATAACCAATTACATCGGGTACCAAAGAAGCGATGGAAACTAAATCGATGGGGAAGAACAATGTCAACACATAATTTAAACGTTGAACATATATTTGAAATATCATATCGATTACAAAAATTAAAAATACAATAACTTTGATTACAGAGACTATATTATAGGATGCTGATGTATTGGGTGCCAAAGTTGTTAAAAGCAAATCATCAATATACAAGAGATAAATGGTTGCCACTATCATCACAATCATTGCCCACTTTGAATTCATTAACTGACTAATCTTCTTACGTCTAGCATAAGACTTTGTTGATTTCTTTGCATTCCTTCTTCGTTTCATCGATCTTAGCTTCCTTATTCCTTTACCATGAAATATTTTTTGGCCTAAATCTGTGAATGATTTTTGATTTGGAAGATTTTGCATTGAAAACAACCCTCCTATACTTGAAAAATGAATTGAATGATGTAAAATTCCAAATTTCTTTTTTGGTTTTTCAGGAGACTGATTATTATTATTGCTATGATTACTTCTGACACTGCTATTGCCATTACTTAATATTAAATTTCTATTCTTCATCGATGATCTGGTATAAAAACTACTAACGCTACCACTAATGTTACTAGCTGTATCATCCATCATATTTTGACCACTCCCACTACCCACACTGTCGTATCCCAGCATCCCTACTCTTGATACACTAATACTTGGAGTATTACTTATTTCACTTTGATCTATCATTCTTTTTTTAAATAATTAAAAATCTTAAATAATTAAAACTAATTAATTATTTAAACAATAATCTATTTAATAAAAGTTAAAATAGATGTTATATATATATAAAATTACAATTTATTATTTTACTATTTATATAATTGGTTATAATTATTATTGGCTATTATAATTATTATTCGAACCTATTATTATTTTATCTGTTTTTTTAAAACGATATTATTACAAAATGAATAAAAATTTTTTTTAAAAATTTAAAAAAAAAAAAAAAAAATTTTAACCCCCAATTAATTATTTGTTTTTACAAAAATGAAAAAAAAAAAAATTAAGATTACTTATTCGGTTATAAAATAGGGTGTTTTTATATGTGTATTTTGTGTGTGTATATTTATATTTGATCAGGTGTGTGTGTAAAATAATCACAAAACAAAACCTCTTTTTTCTTTTTTTTAAGGTATTAGTTACTTTGAAAAAAGTTATTTTTAATTTTTATAAAAAAAAAATAAAAATTAAAAAAAAAAAAAATAAATAAAATTCAAAAAAAAGTAAAAGATATTATAATTTTTTTTTAAATTTTTTTTTTTTAATTAATTTATTATAAAATTATTATAATTGATTGACACAAAATGGTGGTTTTTATAATAATCACTTTGTTTATGATTGTTTTCTTTATCAAAAAACACAACATATCGAAATTGATTTAAAAAAAAAAAAAAAGGAAAAAAAATAAAATAAAATTAAAAAATAAAAAGAACTGAAAGTTGTAAGTGTGCAAAACACTAAATTGTGTGTTTTTTTTTTCTTGTTAAATTTTATCTGTCATTGTAATTAATTAATAATTAATTATTACAGAAAGAGATACATATTTTTTTGAAATTTTTTTTTTTTTTTTTTATGGCGGGGTTAAATTTAAACAGAGACTCGAACCGAGACGAATTGACAACCTGCATGGATGCTATGCATATGTATGTTAGATGGAAAAGAAAATACTTTTTCTTTGTGATTTTTTGAAAAATAGCAAATAATGAAATAAAAAATAAAATAAAATAAAATAAAAAAAATAAAAAATAAAATAAATAAACGTAAATGGTATAAACTAAAATAAAAAATAAATAAAAAAAAGTCGATAAAATGGGGTCGAGTTTAATTTTTTTTTTATATAGATTTCTATTTATTTAAAACAGATGACCTCTAACAGAAGAAAGTAGTTGGACGATTAGCAACGAAAGTTGAGTTGGTTTTTTGGATTCTGTGGGTGAGTGGGAATTTGATTTTGCTATCGTGGAATTGTTTGGTGTTGGTACGACGGGTTAAACCAGCAGCGATTTCTTTGATATCAATAATGTGGATTGATTGTTCACGAGCTGAATGACGTGAGGCCATTTCGTCGTACCTATTATTATTTTTTTTAAAAAAAAATTAAAATCGCAATTAACATTATATTCTAAAACCTATAATTTGTTATAATATATATAATAATTTATATTTACATTTGAGCGATAGCACCACATCTGGTTAAGTCTCTATATTCTTTGTAGATGTTGTGGGTACCTGATCTTGAGTTATATCTGATGAAGACACCAAAGTTCTTGACTTTTTGTGGTTTGTCTTCGAAGATTTCAGTGACGTTTAAGATTTCACCAGTAGCTTTCTTCATCTTGTTGATTTTAGATAAGAAATACCAGAAACGGCTCTTAGCGTGGATTGGAGTTTGAGCAAAGAGTCTCATTCTGAAGATCTTTGGACTGGCATCTCTTTCAGTTGGTACGTGACGACCAACAACTTGGTATTCGTGAATCTAATTTTATTTATCATAATCTAATTAGTATATGTATTGTGAAACCTGCAATTTGAGACGAGAGAGGGCTATCCACTATCCAGTGTATGTATCATGATCCAAATTGATGATAGATTGTTATAATTATTATATTATAAATTTTATTGAAAGATTGATTGATTTGATAAAGGATAAATGATTAATCCAATAGATAAATAATAATTTCATTGCGGCACACTCTCTCTTCTCTCATTGAAAATATAGATAATCTCTATGCGTACCATCTTTACTGTATATTGAGCTAAACTAAAAAACAAACTTTTTCGCAATTATTTTTTTTAAAAAAATTAATTTTTTTTTTTTAAAAATTTTTTTTTTAAAATTTTTTTTTTTGCGCATATAAAATTGGCCAACTACCGAACGATACTATAAAAAAAAAAAATTAATATTCATTTATTATTACATTTAAAATATTTTATTTTTATAAATTAACTTTAAGTTAAAGTTTTAATTATAAAAAAAATAAAAATAAATAAAAAAAAAAACAAAAAAAAAAAAAAATAAAAAAAGGTAGAGATAAAATAATACCCACACAAAAATAAAAATATAATTTTAAATTTTTTTGATTAAATAATATTTTTTTTTTAAAAAATTGGACTTTGTTTTAACAAAAAATATTTTATAAATAAAGATTATTATAATGCATTGTAATTTGGTTTTTTTTTTATAAGTTTAATTTTTTATTTATTTTATTTTTTAAAATTATTTTAATAATATGCATATATATAAAAAATAAATAGATTTTAAAATTGGAGTTGCTATTTCCAAAATTTTGGTTTTTGATTTGTTTTTTTTTTTCTTGTTTTTTTTTATTTGTTTTTTTTTTTTTTTTTTTAAAAAATATGGATATTTTATTTGTGTTATTGATAGACATTGGATTGTGCTTGTAACTGTTGGTTGTGATGATCCCTGATTGTATTATTAATAATTTCAATTCTTTCACTGAATTTTTCTTTTCTTTTTTTAAAATTTTGTTTAAAACTATAAAATATTTTTATTTTAAATTAGTAAATTATAATTAGTAATTTATAAATAAAATAAAATAATTTAAAATTTACCTTTTTTTAACATTATTTTTATAAAATGAAATATGATTTTTTAATAAGTTTTCATGTTTTAAAGATTCATCATTAGTGTTATTTTGTTGTCTAATTAAAGCATCAAAATCACTAATTGAATGATGTGGTCTTTGTTCAGGTTTAAAGTTGAGTAGTTCGGCTTGATCTTGTGGAGACTGTTGGCTGATCGGTGGTAGTGTAATCTCTTTATTGTTGTTACTATTGCTGCTATTATTTGAGTTTGATGGTTGTTGATTGGAAATTAAAATTTTTAAAAGTTTATACAGACTAATTTGTGAAACTTTATCGTCATATTTTTTTTGGAGTTCTTGGATTGTATTTTGATCAAACGGGCCAGTTTGCATGTTTTTCTTTTTAGCAGAGATAATTCTAGTTGCGCCATCGTTTTCTTCTAATAGCTCCACCTCGAAAACACTTTCACAAAGTCCTTTTTGATAGCTAAAATGCTCGTTTGAAAATTCGGATTTATACAGTTTTTTTAGATCAAGGTTTTGGTTTAAAATATTTAGATTTTTAATTTCATCTATATTATTGTCATTATTATTGATGAGACTAATATTGGTGGGGCTGTTATTATTATTTGGTGTTATTGTGGTTGTAGTGGTTGTGGTGGTCATGGTGGTATTTGATTTTGGTTGATTGACATCTAACACTTCGTCAGTAAATAGGTCAAATATATGATTAAGGTCATTATTGTAAGCATTGTTATTTTTTATTAATTTTTTAGCACTATTGCTTAAGTTTTGGAAATGATGATTATTATTTACATTGTTGCTAATATTATATTTTGAGTTTCTATCAGGTGATAGGTGATAAGGACTTTTTAGTTGTTGAAAAATTGGAGTGTTATTGCTATTTAGTTTTAGAGGAGATGATTCAAAATGATTTGGTGATTTAAAAAATTGTGTATGAAATTGATTGTTATATGTTAATGGTGGTGATGGTGTGGTTTGCGAGTTTAGGTTTTGTTGTTGATTTAAAGCAGGTTGGTGAGTATTATTAATTTGTTGTTGCTGTGGTTGTTGTTGAAGTGTTTGTTGTTGGTAGTGGTTTGGGGTTTTGGTTGTTTTTAAAATAAAGTCGCTATCGATGCCGTGATTATAAAATGTATCGTCAAACGATATTATTGGGGGAGAGTTTTTGAATGGTGTAAAGCCAGTTTCACCATGATGGCCCATCATCCCACTAAGTGGTGAGTTTTGGATACTTAGAGGGTTTTCACCTAATATGTTACGACTTGGTGTACTGTTAATACTTCTAATACCAGTATAGCCATATTTATTTCCGTTAATATTGTTATTATTACTATTTAATACAGAGTTAAATGCTTTTGATGGACTATCAAATAAAAAAGTATCCTGAATTTCTGAATAGTGGTCATTCATTTTTAGTACTATATAAATAGGAGAAAAGAGGTTAATAAAAAAAAAAAAAAAAGATTCATGTTTTCATACATACATTATTATATATATATAATGGAAGATTGGTCAGTTTATAAAAAGTGGGTTTTTATCATTCCTCTAAACAATGCTAGTATACTATCTATTGTTGTTGTTATTGTTGATGTTGAAGTTGTTATAAATTATTATTTTTTATTTTCTATTAATACAGTATTTTTATATTTATATATATTGTATTGAGATGGAGAGAATCAAATACTCTATATATTATTAGTTTTACAGTTTTTATTAAAAATTTATTGTCTACTATTATTGATATTATTATAAGTATCAAAAAAAAAATATAATGTTTGTTCAATTAAATTATATTTTTTTTTTTTAAAAAAAAAAAAATTTTTGGTAATTTTATTAATTTTTATATGGGTGTTTTGGCGCAAAAATTAGTTTATTTTATTAATTTTAAATTAAAAAATTTAATTTAATTAATTTAATTAGGATAGATAATTGTAGTTTTAGTTTGTGTTTTTTATTTGAATTATTGATAGGTGTTTATATATTTTAATACAACTATATTATTATTATTTTTTTTTTATTTTTTATTTATATTTCACTTTTTTTTTTTTTTTTTCAAAAATAATAAAAATAATTATAAACACCCTATTTTTTTTTTTTTTATACAAAAACAGTAATAATTTTAAATAAATCTATTTTAGATTCTTTTAATTATTATAAAATAATATTGTGCATTATTAAATAAAAATGTATAAAATGTTTTTTTTTTTTTTTACTATCCCAATTTTATAATAGTAGTCGTTAAAAATTAACAGATTAAAAGAGTAATGTATATTTTTGTATATGCATATTTCTTCTGTCACCCCTATATAACAATAAAATTAAATAAAATTTTAAATTAAATAGATAACTAAATAAAAATATCTTTTTTTTGATGATTTAATTTTTCGTTTTTTTTTATTTTTTTTTTATTTTTTCTTTTAATTTTATTTGTTTTTTAAAAAAACTTTTTCTATTTTTTATTTTTTTTTTTTTAATTTTAAATTTGTAAAAATAACAAAAATAAATATATAAATTATAATCAAAATGGAAAATAAAATAATAATTGTTAGAGTTATAAAGTCATTAGAATATAGAACTATAAAGAACCTTATTCTCAAAGATATAGATTTAAATATGAACACTTTAGATTTTAAAAAATTAGTTACAGAAAGTATGATCTATATAAACATTAGTTATAGCACATTAATCATTAATCAATAGTTTATAGTAATAGTAATATTAGTAATAATTATCGTAATAAAAGAACCAATTTTATCTTAATAAAATAAACATTACCTCTTTTTCATATTGTACATTCAATCACACACAAACACACATTTTTTATCACATATACAAACCCTCTTTTAATAGATAAATCTATAATAGAAATTTTTAACTTTATTTAATAAATTCCTATCACACATAAACTACACTTGTCTATTTACAAATAAATAATTAATAGTTTTTAATTTTTAATTGTTTATTTGTATTGACGATTGGGCAGTAGCTTGGGTTTTGTGCAATAATCTATAAATTGTAATATTTTTGTGCTTGTACCCAGTTTTTTCATTTTCGAAATACATCATCATTTATTAATAATATTATAATTTTATTTTACTTTAGAAATTCAAACTACACCAGGTTTTGCCCCTTATAAAACTAAAGCTTATGGTAAGTATTCCAAATTTTTTTTTTTTTAAAAAATGAATATTTAAATATTAATGGTTTATCCAATCTAATAATTCAATATATAAATTTATAATAAATAGATTCAATGAAAATTTTCTTTGTTCCCCACGGCCAAAAGCCAAATAATTTAACAATCAATTTAGATAATGATCAATATTTTTTAAATAATAATAGAACTTTAGCAGAAAACGGTGTTGGTAAGTGGAAATTAAAATTATTTTCATATAATGAAAAACTCTATTAACATTAATTTTATTACTCTTTAGTTTACGAAACAGAAATTTCATATTTTATAATGGACGAATATTTAGCTTATAAATTAAACCCAGAAAGCAAATGGTAAAATAAAAGAGTAAAGGATTTTTTTTTTTCTTTTTTTTTTTTAAAATTTAAAACTATATACATTGACACCAGTTTTTTTATTTTTATTTTTATTTTTTGTTATTACAATATTTATTTATTCTTTTAATATTTATTTTTTAATTTTTTGTGATGGTTTAAATTAATTTCATATAATTTTGGATTATTGGCCAAGAAATTTTCTTCATAGGTTTTACAATTTGAATAGTTGTTACCAGTAATATTTACAAAGCCATAGGTATCACAACAAGTATTGTATTGTTCTTTAACTTGTGGGGGATGGACAGCTGGAATGATTTCGGTTGTACCATCTTCAAAACGTAAATAGGTATTGATTGAGAATGGGTTAGCGGTAATTTCTAAAACACGAGCACCGTGTTTCCAGCCAGCTGGTGGACCATAGCCACCATAACCACTCTTTCTACCATAGCCTAATTGGACACCATTGTAATTACCAATAAAGTCATTGTCGTGATCGTGGCCACAGTGCATTGAAACTACATCACCCATTTCTTTGAAGGCTGCAAATAAACCAGTGTTTACAGAGAAACAGCAAACACCAGTATCGTAAAGGCTACCATTGACAGTGTAAAAGTTCCACATGTCCATATATTCTGGGATTGGAATGTGCATGAAGGCGATGGCTGGAACAACACGACCATATTTTTCACGGAGTGAGGTACTTACAGTACGATACCATTCGACTTGATCTGGATATACGCAGCCCCAACCTACTACGCCTTGACAATTATCATCACCACTATCAAAGAAATAAAGAATAGTTTGGACATCACCATTCGAGTCAGTGATTGGCAAATAGTAATTGGTTGCACCTTGAATATCGGATGGACCTTGTTGAGTAAGTGAGAGATTGAAGGTATTGTCAAGTTCGACGATTTGGGTTCTATCGAGATCACCTTCATCATCATGATTACCACATGTAAATGCCCAACGTATATTGTGTTGAATCATTGGACTAACTAAATGTAACCACTTTTGTGCAAACCAACCCTCTGTACCATTCCATGCATATCCACTAACAGAGTCACCAGTCATAACTACCAAACCAGCATCGGTTTCGGCATTTAATACACCAGTTTGTGAATTATAGGACGATGCATCTTGTTTATCGGATTCACCATAATGTAAATCTGTAAATTGAACAATTTTAAATTTGCCTTCTGAATTAAACTGTAAATTTCTTTACAATAATAAATAAAAAATATATGAACAGTTGTTTTTTAATTTATAAAGAGAAAGTCAATTAGTATATAGAAAGTTAATTTTTTTAAACATTAAATTATTTTATAAAATTTTAACGAATTGTGGTTATTTTTTTTTTAAAATATGTATTGATACTACTGTTATTATGATTGTTTTTATTTGGTTAATTTTTTATAAATGATTATTTTTTAAATAAAGAGGAAAAGACACGTTATAAAATTAATTAAATAAAGAATCTATAATCGACAATTATTTTTCTATAAACCATATTTATTATTTTTAATTTATTACAAAATAGGGAGAATATAAAGTCAATATAAATAATGATGATTATTAAAAAAAACCAACATTACTATTAATTACTGCCAACTATACAATAACATCCACCACCAACTTTTATAAAAGTAAAAATAAATAAAAATAAATAAAAAACAGTAAATAATAAATTGATACTATAACACATAATAAATAGGTACTTATTAAAAGTGATTAAAAGTTATTTGTGGGTATGTGTGTGGGTGTAAGTGTATATCTGTAATTATTAATATATTGCATAAATGGTATTTTGAAGTGGTTATATTATATGTTAAATAAATAGGTCATTTAATGTTTGTTAAGATAGATTTTGTTTAGATAAAGATCTTTTAAACCACTATTTATTATTAAAAGTCATATTATTATTATTATTGTTATTATTATTATTTTGATGAATATTAATTTGTGGTTATGATTATTTTTTTTTTTTTTTTTTTAACTGTATGGTGAAACAGTAATATTCTATTAGTGAAAATGAGGGATGCATAATTCAATATTCAACATACTAGTATTTATAGTGTAGTTTATTATTCATTTATTTTATTTGATTTCTATTATCATAAAGATCTATTGAGTAGTATTTTATTGTTATTATTATTATTATTATTATTATTTTCGATCGATTTCTTAATATTTTTTTTTTCTTTAATTTCTATGTTTCTCTTTATTTTTTTCTCTTTTTTTTCTTCTATAAACTTACCTATTTACAGGAGTTGGAGTTGGTCCAAAAAATTTTGTTTGTTTATGTTCAATTGATACCGATAAACAAATAGATATAATAAAAGATAGTATGATATAAATGGTATATATATATTTAAGACTAGCCATCTTTTTTGAACAAAAATAATTATATTATTTATACAGATAATAATTATAATTGTGTGTTTATGAGATTATAAATTAAGGGGGGGGGAAAATTAAAAAAAAAAAAAAAAAAAAATTAAAAAATTAAAATAAAAAATTTATATTAAAATTGGAATAAAAAAAAAAAAAAAGTGACACCTTAAAGGTTTTTTTTTTTTTTTTTTTTTTTTGATACAAATAAATATAAGTATCTCTGTGTGATAAAATAAATTGGTATCCTACCGAAAAAATTTTCGAAAATTTTTTTATTTTTTTTTTTATTTTTTTTATTTTTTTTAATTTAATCACAAATGATTTTTTTTAAATTTTTTTTTTTTTTTTTGTATAAATATGCTTGCTTTTTACTTTATATTAATATTTTTCTCATATTGTCATCATTTTTTATATAAATATATATATTTTAATTGTTTTGTTTTATTGAGAAGATCATTAGTTATACAGTTCTTTAATCAAGATAATCTTAATTTTTAATTTTCTTCTTTCTATTTTTATTATTATTATTATTTTATTTATTTTTATTTATTTTTTTTCATTTTGTTTATTTTAATTTTATTTATTTTTATTTATTTTTTTTATTTTGTTTTGTTTCATTTTATTTATTTTATTGTTTGTCGATTTTATCTTTTGGAATAAAGGAAAGGGTTTTTAAAATTTTATTATTTGTATTCTTTTTTTTAAATTCAATATAACAACAACAATATTTTATTAATGTGTGGGATTATTAATTTTTAGTTTATTTTTAAGATAAAATTAAAAAAATAAAAACAAAAATAACATGTCATTTAATAATAGTGTATGTAATAATATATACCTCATGTATATATGTGTTAATTTTAATTTAATAATAGCAATATTGTTATTATTAATAGTATAAAAAAAAACATATCAATAAAAACAGGTACCACAAATAGTATTAATAGTATAAAAAAATAATAATAATCACAATCACAATAATAATAACAATAACAACAATAATAATATTTGACTCCTTCACTATTTATTCCTCTCATCAATTTTTTTACCAACCTCTCACCACAAATCACGCACATTTCCCTTTAAGGAATAGATAGCACAATTTGTCCACTTTCAAATTCCAAAATACAATTTTTTTTAAAATCAAATAATTACCATATTAACTAAATGTATATTATTAAATTAAACATATTAGTATTGTTATAATAATTAATCACCTTTATTTATTTTATATACACTTCTATTGGTATCTTTTAAAATATTTGTTTGTTTTTGGTAATACCATTTTTTTTTTTTTTTTTTTTTTAAAAAAATATACTCACACATGCATACATACACACATGTATAGTTTTTATAATAGCCCCACCATCAAAATTTTAACACACACCTCCCCATTTTTTTCTATATATAATTTTTTTATATTAAACACATTAAATATGAATGGTATATATATACTTTTTTTTTTTAGCCAATAATCACTACATTAAAAAAAAAAAAAAATGATTTTAGCTTTTTAAAAGGGTATGTCTAAAATTCTAAATAAGGACTGTGCTTCGTTATTATTTTTGTTATTTACCAAATTAGGTCAGAATCTCTCTTTAAAATCAGAGATATTTCACATGATTGTTAATAATATCACAACATAAATATTATCATTATTATTGTGGCTTTTTTATCATTATATACAATATATTTTTATTATTTTTATTATGGTTTTTTAAACAATTAAAAAAAAAAAAAATCCACAATATTTAAATCTTTTTTTTTTTTTTTTTGGTA